CACCTGTCAACTTAGAATAGTGCCTAAAGATTACCTTGTGTGGCTAAAATCGACTGTTAAATGAAATGATGAATTTTTGAAGGATTTCGAAAATGAAAAAAATGATAGTCATGCCTGCCCAGCATTATCAACATTGAAAAATGCCCCGGCAAGAAGTGGGTAAAGCAGTTTGGTTTTGGTATTGAGAAATTACGAGCAACTTATTATGATTACGTCAGACCGATATTAGAATATGCAGATGTAATATGGCACTCTGGAATTACTGCTAATCAATGTAATAGTATTGAAAGTGTTCAGAAAAGAGCTTGTTAAATTATTTTAGGTACAAACTATCAACCATATGAATTGGCTCTTCAAGTTCTAAATATTGACCCGTTATACACCAGGAGAGAATGACAATGTCTCAAATTTGCCACAAATCTTCAGAATAATGAGCGTTGTAATTTTTCATTCCCCCCCCTCCAGGTTAGCCAACCATAGGAGGAATCTCCAAAACTCACACAATATTTCCAAGTTTCCAGTTAAAACCCTTCGCTTTCAAAACTGCCCAATCCCTTATTACATAGAACTGAGCTAACCTAAGTGTATTTTTACTTGATGCTGGCTTTAATATCTACATGTTTCCATAGTTTTTGAAGTTTATGCGTAGTGTTTTTAAAATTTTAAAATGTAATTTCTATAACCTTGTTCCGTTGGTTTATTTGTGAATTGATATTATAGATGTCTTTTCATGGTATAGCTGTATGTGTGTTATAGTTTTTACTTTTTCATATTGTGATCTTTATACCTTGTACTCTTATCCACTCTTAGTATTTTTAATATATTGTAATTCATGTACAATTTGGCCGAATGGCCACGACACATGAATCAAATAAACCAATAATAAATAATAAGTTAAGTATTTGTGGTTACGAGTACCGGGTACTATGTCTTTTGGCCCATTCTTTTAGAGCAAGGCTACAGGTATTTTTTGGCATGAAAGTGTTACAGTGTAAATGCACGTTTTATCAATAACAGAAAAACTTCTTGTCTGATTTCTTTACAGATGCTGGAGATTAAGAATAATTATGTCCGGAATGCATATGATTCATCTTGTATAGCTTTTTGGAGAAGTACACTGGTAGACTTAAAAGTTAACATCAGTGTCATCAAGTTTTGTCTCCATAAATATTCATTCTTCAATGTTACACCAACAAGACAAGCTCCCTTTGAAAGGACCATATCGATGACAACATACCACGAGTCACAGTTTCTTCAGTGCTTGAGAATGTTGATTTCCTCCATTAGTAACAAGTATTTTTGACATTTATAGTATGGTTCTGTGTTAATGCAAATTGATGCATTGTGCTCAACGTCTATGTGGTCAAAGGGCCTTCAAATGGCTGAGTTATTCAAAACTTCTGTGCCTTTGCAGAATAATTTATTCTGAAAAATTCGGATAATCTTTCATCTGCTGAGGATTGTAGAATTGAACAGCTTTTCTCCTGTTTGGTGACACTGTCACTTGCATGTACCGCTGAAAGTGGTGGTTGAGTAGGTGACATACATGTACATGTATAACATGAGACATTCGCTGGAGTGAAAAGCCCACCTGTACATCTTTGATGGCGAAGTCGAATAATAGAATTTAACTAGCAAACTCCCCGTCCATTAGCTGGAAAAATGGTTAAGACATTCCAAGCATATTTACCAAGTTGTCACCGACGTTACAGCTGCATACACTGTCGAGCACACCTGGCAAATCATGATGACCTTATATCCAAGGTATGGACTTTATTATTGGGGCTTAAAAAGCAACTGCATTTAGATATGAATTGTACACAGCATCATTTACTTGGTTTTGTGTCTTAAGATTTTTTTTTACATTTGGCATTTAAAGCTCATGATACATTTGTGACTTGCTCCAAATTATATACACACGATGCACTTGCACATGATTCTCCTGGAAAAATATTTCTGGGTATCTTGTTTGGCCTTGCAGGTGTTTTTGCTTGGTACTTTTTAGTCCTCAAAATTGTCTGTGGAAGGCCAAAACTTCCTGTAAAGCTACAGTACACTGTCATTGTATCGTGTCAAATTTTGTGGGGTAATTTTTACCATACCTTCCTGTGTGTGTGAGTTTGTTTCTGCATTCAACAGGGGACCTTGAACAATAGAGGACAATAAGGTCCCCGATTGACAGAGGGTCCCCGATTGACAACTGTGTATAAAACATATGGGTGATCTTCTAAAAAAGTACAAACAAAAAAGGAACAATAGGGGGTCCCCAGTTGCAGGCAAATACACACTTGTGTGTGTGTGTGTGTCATAATTACAATGTACAATCCTCAACCAAGTATAGATTTAGATAATTGTGTAATTTTACCAAGTTCATGAATGAGTCAAAAATCTAAAATATTTTCTCCATTTTTCCTCTTATTCAAGACTTTCAAGGAAGTTTTAGGGAAAGTAAATTGCATTGGGACTCCTTTAATCAAAATTAAAACTGTTATCAACAATTTACTGTTTGTTTAGAATTGTAGGTTGACAATTCTGTCTAGTTGTGTTTTTTTTTTTCCCTTTACAGTCCTTCCAGGGGAGCCAAGGACGTGCTTACCTCTTCAATTCTGTGTAAGTATTTAAATACATGTACATGGTATGTTTTTTTGTACATCAGTGGAAACGTACGTATATAGATACATGTAGTGCTGGAAGTAGGTACATGTAGTGCTGCAAGTAGGTGCTAAGGTTCAGTAAGGGTTTGGACATGTAAACACATGTAAGTACATATACATGTACAATGCATGTTGAGACATGGAAGAGCTCACTACGAACGTGCCACATATAGTACTTCCGTGTATAAAGTATGTTAATGCAAAGCAATGAATCTCATCCCCATCCATGAGCAACTTCGACGTAAACATAATTTTTTTTTTCTAAACTGTTTTCCAAAGTTTGTTCAGGAGTTAAAATTCCATAGAAAGTTACTGTCGGAGGTTTGACAGTGTCCGACCGTGGTTTGCTGACCAAAAGCTGTTGTGTTTAGACCACGCTTGACTCAACACGGCGATCGTAGGATATGTGAAAAGAGAAAAAAACAGCATGCTGAAAGTGGGAGTTTCAACAACAGGATACAAGATCAAATTGGATTTCAAACGAAGTGTGTTTTGGTTATGTTTCAAGAAACAGATTCAACTACCGAACTATGGCTTTGATGTATTCACAGAAGAACCTTGGTATCAAGTCAGCATTCTTTCCCAAGATGGCACCCAAAGGGGCAATTTTCCATCAGTCTTTTTCGAACAGATAATGGCATTTTGAGATTTGCAAACAACTTAGAGATCTGGCAAAATTCCATTATTTTATAACATATTCACACTATGACTTCAATCGAACATGATCAAATGAAAGGCAAGTTAGGCCACCGTCGCTAACCAAATCTTGTTGCGTGCTTGAGCACTGCACTGGCCCACCTGGCAAAATCGATTTTCCCTCTGGAGTAGCTTTTGATCGAGCACGAGTCCAACTGTGAACAGCATCCAATCAAAATTTGTTTTGCACAGCCATTTATGACATCATTGGCCTAATATGGAACTTAAGGGCATGGCTATCAGAGACTGGCAAACATAATGCTAAATCTAAATGTACACTAGCACAGTTGGATATAGTGAGAATTTAGAGTTGTGCAGCGGAAATACCGTACATTGTACATTGCATGTTCTGGATTGATTATTAGTGAATTCTCACTACTTTCTTTTTACAACCATCGCGTGATGCGGGGCCATTGTAAGTTTACTGTACATGTACATTTATAGTACACGCCACGCACATGTGCCGAGTGCTGGTGCAGCATAACTTGTCTTGCGTGCATTCCAGACACTACCAATGCCACACCATATAAAGCCAAACCGACCAGTTCGGTCCAGTTTGGTTCGAAAGTGCTATGTTCAATGATTTTTGGTTTGGTTGGGCTGCAGCACTAGATGTATACGCTATCAGCTGTGAAAATGTGCAGCAAAACTTTTTTTCTGAGAATTTTGCCTTCAAAAAAATATCAAGTACAAGAATCAAAAATACACTTTTTTAACTTAACTTAAGTTTTAACTTTGAACATTGGAAGAATTCATGTATTGGTAAAAAGCTGAAGCCTCTCAAAATATGCTTTGGGGTTTCAACAATTTGCAGATCATTATGAGGCACCCTTCAAGACTTTATTAGTACAAAAAACTCAAATTAAAATAACATATATTCTGTTACGTGCAGAGAACGCACGGTAGAAGAAAATCAAAAGATGGGAACCAGGACACTAAAACATACGAGCAAAGAACAATAAAGGAACTAATTTGGAATAACATTTAATTATAAACTTCAATCAGCAAAGCAGTAAATTAGAACAAAGTAAATCTAGTAGTTTGCTGCAACTTAAACTTCTCGTGCAAGAACACCGTGAATTTGAACAGTCAAAAGCTTAAAAGGAAATTATTTACAGTAGCACAGCCAAGCACAATTAATTACAATGAAAATTAGCAAGCCGGCAAAAACATATTAATACGCAGAGGCAAATTATATTCGGCCGAGTATAATTACCTTAAGGAGCCAAAACAAGAGAGAAAGAAAATTAGGCCCCGCTCAGTCAGTGCCACGATTAAAAGAGCGCGGTCGTCGGGCCAAGCACCTCCACACTCCGCGCCAGAACAGCCCAGTTCAGACAGGTAGGTCAGTGTAGATCCCCGAGATTCGGCTTCCACATGGAGCCACGACACTCCAGGGTCCACGGTCCCTCAGCAGTGTCTGCCTTGGCCATGGTCCAGCGGTAAAGAGGAGAAGACGACAAGGCGGTGCTGATCCAACGCTGGCTTTTTCGGAACGCACATGCTAAAAGCATATAGGCACTGACTGAGAGCGAAATCAATGACTACGGAGTCTTTTATAGGTTTTTTGAACATGCGTAAATTCCACACGTACCTTTTCAGGGAGACACAAAAGGATTTGGATCAACTGGGATCGTAACAATATGACGAAATTAATATATAGGACGAAAGCAAAATAAATTTAAATGAAACAAATATATAAAGGACAAAAGAAGTATATATAGGACGAAACTAATACATGAAGTACAAAACCAATCTATATAAAGGACAAAAGTACATTTACAGGACAATGGTGATTTCTATAAGACAAAAAGTAATATACGAGGAAACATAAACGAGGAAACTAATAAACGTAGAACGAAACTAATAAATATAGAACAAAACTAATAAATAGGATGACGCCACCTTGACACCAGACCAGTTGTGATATCGACCAAAATGTAAAATATAAAGAATGGAAACATAAAATATATAGTACGAAAACGTAAAATATGTAAGGCGAAGCACCATCTATTAACCGTTTGGCGGACGTCGCTCCTTGCCATGATGCAGAGCTTTTTCAGTTGTTCTGAAGAGATGTGAAGCTTTTTCAATTGTTCCAAAATGTTAGGACTATGCAAAACAATTAAAAAAGCTCCAGTCCCTCATCATGATCAGGCCACATAATAACCATGAGGCTATTAAACACAAGGAGTCAGAACGAAGTCCTTACAGACAATAATCCAATCAACTGCCTTGTTCGGCTCCATAGTCAAAGCCTGGTTACCGACCCCAGTGTTAAAGACCCAAACATTCTTTGTACACAGTGATTGCCACTACCAGAAAGCTGGTAACCCAGAGATTTGCCGTGTTTCACTGTGACATACTAGAATAAATAAATGATGGAAAAGATGCATGAAGAAGATGCACAGTTCTCCTCAATAGCCTCGCCCTCAGGAGTCAGTGAGTGATCCCCACAAATGCACATGAAAATTCCAAATTAGCGGATGGTTATTTGGCAAAAGTCAGTCATTTTTAAAGTCATTTATGACATTTTACGGTTCCGGCGGTAGAGAACAAATACCTACAATATGAACTGCGATATCATTAGTCGTAATCTTAGAGGTTTCTACGGTTAAAAGAAGGTGGAAACATGTTGCAGGAATGCATTTGACAATGTGGCAAGGTTTCATGCCTGGCCAATTGTAGCCTGTGACAGGAAGGACAACAAATCTTACCATGTTTTTGTGTGGGGGTGTGTGTGTGTTTTATTATTATTTTCCTCTGGACCCGCTATATTGTTAACCCTAACAGTCCTCTGTCCTCCAACATGTGAAGGATTGCGGACTGTTAGGGTTAAGAGAGGCATTTTGGAGATGTAGAGACGTAGCCAGACTTTCATTATCATTGGAATATCAGAACAGTCACTAAAATTTAATCAAAATTTAAGTCTCCGATGATGGTGGTTTCCGTCTCATGGCGGCCATGTTGAACGCGTGCGGTAGCCACATATGTAATGCAGAAAGATACTGTTCTGATTGCATATTGTTATGTTCAAAGTTTGAGTCTCATATTTACTTTTTGAAAACATTACTGACAAAAAGGTTGCTTGCCGGCTTATTGCCATATATATTTATGCAACAATATTGCCAAAGGAAATGAAAATCCTCATTAGGGAAGTATAAAAATCTATCCGTAGTTTTTTGCGCTAATCAGTGTAACACAGAAGTTCAGTGCAGTTTTGCTCATACGCACATTCATTTGGGGGGTTTAACTTAAGACAAAGTTTAACACAAGACATATTTCAAAATTAAAGTTGTTTATACCATTTTAGCTTATATTGAGGCACTGCCTGTCGATCCCAGCCAATTCCTGATAAAAGTTTAAGTTCTACTATGGTCTGGTGGTGAAAGGGAGGTGGCAGGTTTATTTTAGCAAGCAGTGGCGGCTTCAGAAGGCTATGCCAAAGTGGCCTTTACCCACCAGCAATTCAGCAGGGCGCATTGCTGAATTATAACAATGTATAACATCTTTCTTGCGTGTTGATTGTAAATTATAGTAACACTATAGCTTGACTTTCCTTGGGCTTTGACAGCCAGCTGGGACCCAGGTGGTCACACTTGCACTCCAAGCTACATGTTTACAACATCATGGCAACAAACAGCTGGATATTAAATTGAGGGATTGTCAACAGATCATATGTCTGCCGATAATAATGCATTTTGGAACGATAAAATAGAATATAGGCCATTTGACAAGGCATTACTGGAAGCTTGAATTTCCAATGAAACTGGATAGTTGGGATGAGGGGGGTAAAGTATTCTAAAAACATCGTCAGAAATACACACATGTTGAGGTGTGACGTTACATGTACGTATACATGATGTACCTTGGGTCTGGTGTCACAAAAATTCTGTATTACATGAAAATATTGCTATTCTTACCTGTGTAAATGCAGAAAATGTTCACATGCCGTCACACACACACAAGAGATTATCCATCGTATCAGTCATTCATTTCAGTTCTTGGCCTTAGCAATAGAAACAAGATATGGCAATTAACCCTGCAGATAGCCAAGTGCACCCTCTTGAGAAGAAAACTGTTCATAGTGCAACCTCTTCCGTTCTCTGTGCATTAACCACTTCATGCCGGGGCATTTTTCAATGTTGATAATGCTGTGCTGGCATGACTATCATTTTTTCCATTTTCAAAATCCTTCAAAATTCATCATTTCATTTAACGGTCATTAATAGCCGCACCAAGTATTCTTTAGGCACTTCT